AAATAAGGCATGCTCTTACAGGAAGATCTCTCTATGTATGTACCACATCCCCACAAATGAAGTGCCTGACTACCACATGGTTAGTGCAGCTCTGTGTTGAACTGCAGGTGTTATCTCTGGGACTTTTAGTAGTCTCTATCCTCGCTCCAGAAATTGTAGAAATGGTAAGATGAATAACTGGCCTGACGAGTTACAATGTAGCCGACCACATGTGCCGATTTTTGCTCGTCGGGCAAATTATTCACCCTAAGTTGCCATTTTCTGTAATTTCTTAGCCAAAAAATCAGTCTGGTGGAGACAAAACCTTCAACACCTTCACAGACCAAAACAATGTCACAAATAATGCTCCACCCTTGAGACATTGCCAAAAAAACAGTGGGGAGGGGGGTATGCAACTTTGGTACATTTGTGAGATACTACCTGCTTCCAATGCTTTTGAATCAAGTGTTTTAACTATAAACAAGAGTGAACTCTTCTGACAACAGACCCACCATAACTTATACTCACTATAGCTGAGGCATCTTCTGATACTACATCTTATAAACATCTCTCTAACTTTATACATTTGTATCATTTAATAATTTGTATTCATCCATAGGGAAGGCATCAACATCTTCACTGCATTCAGACATGTATTAAATAATAAAACAATTTCATCTATCTGCACAAGTCATAACATAATGGAATAACATATCAAAAAACAATGTGTAAAACAGCAACAAGTTTTGTAGAAAATGATAATACAATATAGCATTATAAGTCTACCCCTACTTGCATTATGCTTTTAATCTGAGCCTTCACAAAGGTGGTGTATATATATTATACTGCATGGAAGTATGTTCCACCATTCTCACTGGCTGGTACTGAAAGACACAGGTTGAAGGATCATACATGTATGGGCACAACCATGGTCAGAATATTACGATAGTCGTTAATGCACATTAGGTCCACTCACCACGTCGGTTGGTCTCACGTCTTCTCTACAAAGTTAGTCTATCTCCCGCTGTACACTGTACATGGGAGGGGCCATCCTGAGATACATACATACGTACAACATGCACACGTCGTGTAAAAATGCACAGAAGATTCTCCTCCTCACAACTACATTGTAGCACCAAGCCAGATGTGTATACTTCAACATAGCTGGTACTACTAAGTCATCTGGAGAACTGTACCACATGGACAAGGTAATGTGAAGACTGGACTGGCCGCAACATATAATATACATTGATGAAAACGGATGACTATTGGCATCTCTAATGCCTGTCAGCTAACCTTCTTACTATACCCAACACTTACAAGGTATTTCTCTTTTAACAAGTGTTTTTGTATCTGCAGAGCTGAGCTAAGGCATGTCTGAACAAAAAGGTACAAAAGAATTACTCCACATTGCCACAGGAATCATGTCAAAATATGTCTTGGAACATGATGGGGAAGTCTTAAATCTCATTAAATGATTGCTTGTTTGTTAAAACAGTGTGAATGTTAACAAGGTCAAAAATACTTGAGTCTCTGAAACTAGAGAAACCACACAGTGTACATCTGCAGTAATATTCCTGATATGACTTTGTTTTCTGATTGAAAAGTTATGATCTGTCTTCTTTAGTACATGTACTATATGTGTGACAAAGTTCATGATGTCACAAATAATCTTGCCTGAATTCTGACATAAAGACTTTGTTGGATTCAAAGTGGCTTCAGCCTTACAGTCATACATTCAGTGTTTCCCAAACTGACTGAATTATCAAACAGGGACTTGAATAGAGTAAAGGTTAGATCAGATATCCAGGTAGACTACTAGTTACAGAGTCAACAAAACTAGACAAAAGAGGGATGTTTAGACATTTTGAAAAGGCTTATGCCCCTTTTCCAAAAACACTGTCTGTCTGAGAATTTGTTGTTTGTGAAGTTGCATTGATTCCCTCAGTATCATCTACCTGAATGAATAACTTAATAATATTACTAGTATCACCCAGTTTGAATAACTTAACACTTGAGTTTGTGCATGAGTGTGCTGAGTGGAGGGAAGTCCAGGGTGTTACAGATATACCGGTACGGAGAGGTGACGTGTCAAGGTCAGTCTGGTCTGTGGATGGGAACCTTCGGAATGAACTCTATTAAGATAACCTGCAAGAAGATAGAAGAAATATATGTTTCAACTCACAACAATGATTGACCTACATGTAGGTATGGGAAGACGCCAAGGATGTGGACATTACACATTCCCTACAATCATAAAATTGATGACAGTTATTGATAGAACTACATATAGTATTAGACTTGTATGTAGATATGCCAGGGTAGAGACTCCAACCTGTATGAATTGGCAGAGATCCCAGTCATAATCTCTGTATACAAAGATCATGATCAGAGTAGGGTCTTGTATCAGGCTCTCTGCCAATAGAATCACTTATTAAACCAGATTGGAGTCTCTGGCCTGACACATATCTTGGCTTTGTATCACACTGCTTGTACTGTTGCCTGCCCTGTGAACTACAAAGTACAATAGGTTTAATGTGGTGCTACGTACCAAGCTGCAATAATTCTATACACACCATGATGATAAGTAGGTGCATACTCACATATTCCATCATGTTGCTAGATTCACACTTCCTTTTCGCTAATCTCCAATGCAAGCCCAGCTAGACACAGGGAGAAGGGAAACATTAGGGATGACATGTCAGCATGTCTACAGGTATCATCTCACCTAGCTTTGAAATTCATAACTTAGTACACATCACTGCTAAGTGATCTTACTATATGCACTGCTGTTACAATTTGATGGACAATAGCAAAACGTTTGGCGAAGTTCATTGCTGAAACAAATCTTGTACTACAATAGAAATACAAAACATATAGTTGTGGTGTCATGATTTCGCATTAAGAGGACACAGCAAAATGATTGATAAGGTGGCACTCACCTTGTGATACAAATGACTGTTTTCCCAGTCCAGAACTTTCTCTATAGAATGTCGTGTCTGGAAACAATACAGATTGAATGACATTCATTAAAAGATGACCTGGAATAGTGTAACAGGACAGAACAACTTGCCTATATGGGACTACCTTTACCATCTTTGCACTGAAATAGCAATTTGGCTATTTAATACTAGTAACAGTTAGGCATCAGAGAGAAGGTAAGAGTTTGCTGACCCTTTTGCTGAGACAGATGACAGGCCAGAGGGAACAGCCCAGGGTACAGCAGCAACACAGACAGCCGCACAGCAGCCACTTCACGTTGACAGGTAACGTCTTCCTCAGGACTCCGTTCAGCCGGCTGATCGTCGCCTTGTACTCCTCCGGCGCTACCTGTCAAAGGGCAAGGGTCATGGGACAAAGGTTAAAGATCACATGAACTCTATTTATGTAATATCTTACTATACATAGGGATATATATTAAAGACTGTATGGATATTAGAAACTCCTTCAACGATTGTATAAGCTGATACCTATCTCATACTAGCCACCCACTTTTGTATTAGATTAGCCTTATGAAAATGTAGTTGACAATGTACTAGTAGATGCCATACTTTGTACACTGTACAATTGTTGCGCAATAAAGTTATTATCTTACTCCTTACACTAATACAAAGTTGGAGTGAAAACAAAGTTGTTTTTTAGTTCAATATTATGTTTTGCAAAGACTGTTCTTTCATTAAAAATGACAAAATCATTGTGTAGTTTTTTGGGACTGACACTAACACAGACACCATTATAATTTACATCAAACAGAAGTTAAAATTTCTCTACCTTTGCAGCCAAGCCTTGTGGAAACTCTGTGTTGAACTTATTGCTTAGACCAAACCTGGAAGAGAGGAAAAGTGGTATATTTGTGAAGGTGAACTGGAAAGGTTGCAGACAAAAAGTGATGTATAGCACAGGAGTGTTGTAACTACTCCCTTCAAAACACAACTGATCCTTTAGGTAGTACCCCCTGTAACAATTACTGGTAATAATATGGATGTATTCAAAACATTACACAAAAACATACAGGAGAACTAAGATTAGTAAGAACTTACTTAGAAGAAAGAGAGAAATAAAGGTGCATATACACTATTCTGGCAGCTATAGGAGGAGCAATATCCTGTATTTGCATTAAAATTCTTGAAGTATAATTGTACAATACATATGATTAGTGTGTGGCAAGGTATACATGTCGCCTGTCAGAACCAGACAATGCAGCTTTGTGTCAGACCTTTTTATGGTTGAGAAACTTTCCAAGGAGCATGTTTGGATTTGCACCTGAGGGTGTTTACACTTTACATACCTGTCTGTTAACACTAGACTTCTGAATACAAGTAGTGTTAAATCAACAAGTTTGAAGTCTATGACAAAAACAACATACAAATTTGAGGAGACATGATTTTTGCCAAACATGTAAATCAAGTCCATTACTGAATGATTGGACAGTAACATTTACCTCAAAATTACCGGTGTACCAGTAAAAAGACTTACTTTCATTTACAATTGGTCAATCTGCTTACTGTCACAGTGTCAGTACTAGTGTTTGAAATTGAATGTTGCAGTATTATTATGCATCTATTGTATGAAATATTATTCATATTTATCTGTACATTATATAATACATAATACATGTATTACATAATGTATATGCATATGCCAGAAGATCCATGATAAAACATAACTGCATAGCCAACATGACATCACAAGCACTTTCCATATCACTGTACTATCAGATCATATGAGTCATTGCTGAGAACTGCTGCTTGTGTTAATAGGGAACCCAAAGCCCTGAGGAAGTTCCCTGCCATGCCAGAGTAATTTACTGGGACAGGAAAACACAGCTGACCTCAAACCCAGTCTTTCTGGCAACAACCCAACAAGGAAGTCACATCATTTTCATAATGATGTCATTGCCTCTAATTCCTGGAATTCAAGGGTAGACTTCCTTATTTACAGTCCTGCTAAGTGCAACAGAACTGCACTTATTCTAAACTGGACAGTAGACTAATTGTTGAAACACCACACATACATGTACATGTAGTAAGTGATGTCACAAACATGACACGATTGATTTTTATGTCCCACTCCAGTCATACCATAATGCAGACTCATTTATCATTAGGGTGGAACCCAATACATAAAACAGAAATTTCCTATGTAAGGTAGTACACATTTTCTTACATGACAAATACATAATTTATATGGCACATTGTATGACATTTTTTTTTCATACTATGGAATTTTTCTTGCCAATCTTGGAGGATAACTGCATTCCACGGACAATGAATATATCTTGAGGTAATTTGAGGAAAATATCAGTTTTCTATAGCAATGGCACACACCAGATTTGGATATTGTTGCTATTTTGAACACAAGTCTGAGTCAACCAAACTATTATTACACATCTATTCATAAGGGAAAAACTCATTTAAAAATACCCAGATACTACATCCATAGCCAGTACCTTGGATATTGGAATGGAACCAAATTTAGATGGTTACTGAGGCTATTAGGATGTGTAGTGGTAGTAGTAGCTACTGTATATGGAGAAGTGCCACTGTGGTATAAAAAGGTTTTGCTAGCAGTGACATTATGTGATTGTATTTGTAATGGGAAATTTCTCCTAATGTGACTGAATGACTCTGATCCAGGAGTTGCCAACTGATGCTACCTGCACTGTATGAAGTAGTTGTCATGCTTACATTGGCTACTCACACTCATTTTATCACCCACATTTATCAGTAACCAAAACCCAAAGTGATTATGAGTGATGGTGCTACAGACATGCATGCTTAACTGCTTAAAGGTTATCTCTTTCTTAAGGTCACTAGGGTATACAATTGTAATACGACCATAATGCAACCTTCCTGTACAAGTTATTGGTGTTTCCATAAATCCAGTGTATGAGCTGAAGTAGACATTATAAGAGCTCAACCTATCTTGGAATTTACAGCACACCATCATTTAGCAGAAGGCTTAAGTGTGTAAAATGATGGCTATAGCTGTTAGGTTGTAATTATGTGTGACTGAAAACCAGGAAGACTTGACAAACTGCTTGTGCCTGGTACTTTAAGTGCTGGGAAACCCTCCCAGGAGTGGATTTTCCTCTTCTGTAATTGTCTACCTTCCTGATTTATGCGTGAAACAGCTGAATTAAAATGTGTAACTAATTGGTCCAAAGTCTTGACTACTTCACAACATTTTTATTCTTGACTAATGATATTTACATGAGATGATCTACCTTAAAACAATTTTCCATTGACCACACGATTCATAAGGGATCAAGGGTTCAAAAGGACTTATGTAAGATTTCCCACTGCTGGTACAATCATTACTTACACTTAAAAGATTAAGATGCACGAATCCAAATAACTACTGTTTACTGAGCAAACATGAATGGGTAATCCTCAGTACGGTACATGTAGTATCTTGTATAGTGACAAAATTTTCTGGTGACTTGTCTGCAGTTTTCATGCCATTTAAACAACTTGGATCGTGACAGATATGTTATCAACAAATGTTTGATTTCGGTAATAATTATTCAAATGTTGTCATTCATTGTGGAATATATGCTGTGTACCAAATAAATCAACTACAACACAATAAGGGCACTTGATAGCTGTTTTGATATCAATAACATAAGATGCATAAAAAGGTAATCTAGGAATAGCTGCAGATTATGAAAGGGTAAGGGTCACTGTAAACGGATTACTGCAAACAAAAACATTTGGATGGTCAGAACATCAGACCCGGACGTAACTCAGACAATGGTCTTAGTACACAGAGAACGAAACAATTCAAGACGACATATTTGTATAAAGGGTAGGGTAAAGAGGTCCTCTTTATGTCCTCCATGCCCAGATTGCTTTGTCAGCCAGCAAATTCCAATCGCGTTACCGACAGAACAAAGACTCGATCTCTGTCAGCAGAAATTCGAGGCCAAACAAACATGACACAACCTGGCCACCCTATGGGTCGCTGTGGACTTCCCTTGTTTTCCAAGGCCTGGTGAGGTTAATCACACCAACAATGGGTTACTTACACAGTGACATGTCCTGATCCTCTAACGACGACGGGGTCAGGCACGGTACTGAGTAGATGTTCCTCCATAAGCCGCTCATCTTCGTCATCTTCCTCATAAATCGCATCGAAGTCCGCCATGATGGAAACATCTGCGCACGGTATGCTGGGCAATATCTCCCGGGGTGCACTTCGGAGTGACGTCATTTGCAGACGACATTCTGAGTTCGAGGCGCCATTTTTGTAAAAGGAGGAACAGAGGGATTTTCCCTAAAAAGTAAGTGTTAAATTGTTATCCCAGTTCCCTATGTATTAAATTAACTTATTGAGACTATAATTGGGACGTAGGCATGTTAGCGCGTTGAGATTCAAACTTTTCATGATGATATGAAAGTTTTGCAAAGTTAAAATGCAATCTTGGTGGGAGGGCGGACCTGTTCGAATTTCGAACGTAGATTGAAGTCCCTATTTATTACTTGCCGAAACTTGAAATGCCACCAAGACGACTGATTTTTATGCAGATATATCATCTACGGCACGCAAATGACAGCATAATATTGTTTTATTCCAGCTGTCCATTTCAATCGCCAGTCACTTTTTGAAATTTTATTAGATGATGATACCAGTCCCAGTATTTTTGGATGTAAACATTGAGATTGAGAACTAGGTCACATAACATGTTACTCAAGTGTGTCTGTTTGTTTGTTTGTTTCGCATAACCGGTAAACCGCCTTCAGGCGTAACACACCAGTTTTGTACATGTGCGCACATGTACAAGCTGCGTTAGACCGGACTGTAAGGTTTTGAACCACTCACACCGGGAAGATCCCCTACTCTTTTCGATAAGTGCGGTGGGTTCTTTAACGTGCATGGGGTGTGGATCTCCCAAACACGGGACCTCCATTTAACGTCCTATCCGAGGGACGTCCCTAACCGAAGCTAGGTACTCATTTTCACCTGAGTGAAGTGAGGAAAGTCGTGTAAAGTGCCTTTCCCAAGGGCACAAGATCGGTGACATGGGCAGGGTTCGAACCCACAACCTCTGGGGTGTGAGCCGAACGCGCTACCGACTGCGCCACACGACCCCACATAACGTGTCGTTCCTGTTTGCAAGGCCAATGGCGTTTTAGTTATTTTTCCTAAATTCTTTGTCTTTTATAGACAACAGAAAAATTGCTAGGGCACGGAAACGGTTTATTTTGAAGTAAGGCATTGTCTGTTGAAATGGTGGACTTAATATTGTAACGTGATATTTTGTAAGGGATAACTCCTGCTGACACTTTCCAGAGGCAGAAGTTGAGGTGCACTGTGTAGATAAACTGTGTCATCCTGTATTTCTGTGCTGTTGTTTTCCCTTTGTGCACTTGTGCTCCTTACTAGTCCTTAGCCTAGTAAATTCAGTTAATTGAGTAATTGTGAAGTGCTAATAAAAAGCAACACTATTTACATATGTAACTATCATATACATTACTACACACACAACTGTGGTGTATTATTTTTATTGACACTCTGTCAGAAAATGGGAAAAAAGGATGATTATCAATCCAGTTTTCATTGCAGTACAGTCCATTGTCAAAAGGTGGCATTTCACTGTTGGAATAAATTTTTCAGTGGTTAGGGGATGTTAACATGTAGCTTAGCAAAATATGAAAACATACCATGTACCTTGTAAAGCTAAAACTATCATAGATATTCTGTAACAAGAATACTTCAGTCTTTCTAATCTTTTCACAGTTCCACATTTTTTCCATTGTGGCACAGTCAAGTGGAAAAGACTGAATGTATTGATTTTAAAGAAGTAATCCATGTGTAATGATTATAGACTGAATGGCAACTGGGAATAAATCAATTTGTTGATGTCATACATTTCTATTATATTGCAACTCAAACAAGGGATTACAATCACAGTACCAAGCTAAGTGAACATAATTTCACATTTATATGAATGTGTCCCTGGCAATAATAAGGAAATAGCAGGTGCCCTTGAACTTTTCTATGCCATTATCCTAGAGTTGTGTGGCAAATAGATTATCCCAAGAGATATCCTTTGTCACCCCAGCAGCTAAGACACCTATGATTTCAAAAACTAACACTCATTTATTCTACAACTGTAGTTTGTGCATTAGCAGCCCAGAAGTGAATGACAAAATGTGTATAGGACTATAGGTACAGTATACATATTTCTTTGTTGTCTCATTTCAGATGCAGAAAAGCTGACTTAGCTCAAACAAAGTCCCCCCATCCCCACGGCAGTAAGAAAACGTGAGAGCATTGGTGAGTGTTTGCTTGCTTGATTAATTGATTAGAAATGTGAGGTGTTTTGAGAAGAAAATGGTATAAGATTTTGGGTCATGCAGGATTAAATCCGATGAAAACACATGCTCATCCTGTATACACTGATCTTATATGGATATGCTAAATTATGTTACTGAAGTCTTGTGCTAGGAGTAAAACACCCCCATGCACATTGTCTGCTTGTCCTTTATTTTAGATTTGAATTACTCCATGAACTAGTTGTGACTACTTGTTCAAGTTGTTGTAATAGAAAATCAGCACCAAGGACAGTAACCTCAGACTAAGGTTGTGATCAAACCAATATAATTTGTATATTGTTCATTCCTTAATGGCCTGTACAAAGTTTTTCTGTCTCCCTTGATTCTTACAAAATCATATGCAATAGTGACAGGTGTTCATGTATATACTATTGGTGTATAGTATTACATTCTTTATCTAGTGGCGCATAATGTGTGCAAACTGACAGTTTAAAAAGAAAAATGTAGCTAAGAATTCTGAGAATTGATAATGTTAAAAGTAATACATGTATGTGTTACTATGCTTCTGTAAAAACAGTACAAGTGCAAATGCATGCATGTGTAGGCAGCTGAAAATTGAACACACAGGGATACTAATTGAACCTACAAAAAGATTGTTAGAGCATTTACAGTTCACTAGCGTAGAGTTTGCCTGCACATTGTCATTTTATTTGTCAGGAGTCAGCTGGACCTTTCTGCATCAGAAAAACAACAACGCTGTCTACCAGTGATGCAAGGTATACAGCAGGTGTGTTATCAGCAAGAGCCATTCTTCAAGCCTCTGTCATCCCAGCAGCAAGAGCACCAGCATAGTTTCTTTAAGATTGGGAGTACAGACCAGCAAGAAGTAGAAATGGAGACCCTTTCACACAGTGGGGAGCGCCTTACAAGCCTCCATTCTCGGCTACAGAAGGAAGCAGAAAAGATCAACAAATGGAAACATCAGACAGAGATGCAAATACTACAGAGGGAAAAGAAGATTCAAGACACCCAGCAAACCATTGATTCACAGCGCAAGTCCATCCTCGAGCTACAGCTTCAGAATGAGAATCTCAGCTCCAAACTGCAAGAGGAGATAGATGGGCGCGTGGAGATCATGAAGAAGATCACTGCCACGCGAGACATGTGCTATCTTCTCAAGGATCATGCGGCAAATGTTGAGGAGAGGATGGGCAAGTGTGAAGCCAACCGAGATGAGCTAGAATCTCTGCAGCAAGACACAGTGCTCCAACTCCAGGAGCTGACATCAAAATTCAACAACCTTCGCATCAATCATACTGAGGCGGAGAAAGTTCTAAGCAACAAGGTGAAGGAAAGTGAAAGTGAACTCAACCAGGTCAAGTCTGACTACCAGAATGAAAAGGTCAACATGGAGAAAAGACTTGAAGGTTTGATGCAGCAATGTTCAGAGAAAGAGATGGAAATCTCAAAGCTCACAGGTGCACTAGCAGATAAGCAAGCTCAGCTTAGTGACCTGGAACGGCAGTGCAACATGCTGGAGGAACATGTTGCCAAGCTGGAAGGTGAAGTCAAATCTCTTCAAGACCAGCTCCAAGAGGCAAGCAACAAGATTTTCAGCAAGGACAAGGAGATGGAAAAGATCTCAGGTGCATTGAGCAATGCTGAGGCACAACTGCAGAAAGCTTCAACTGACTGTGAGCAACTTGAGACACATATTGGAATGTTGAAGGAACAGCATTCAATTGAAGTGACCAAGATCAATCATCAGCTGGATACAGTAGATGAAATGTTAAATGCAGAGAAAATGAAGACAAAGGATTTATCCTCCAAGCAACTGAGTGCTGAGCAACAGATCAGTGAGCTACAAGCATCAATAACTGAGCAACACAAACAGAGTGACAAACTGAGAGAGAAAATGTCTAAAGTGGAAATGGAAAAGGTAGCAGTTGAGGCTGAAGGGGTACTGTTGAGGGAAAACATCATGAAGCTTGAAACAGAGCAGCAGAATCTAAAGGAGCAAGTGACACAACTACATACCTCAGTGACGGCCCTGACAGATGCAAAGACACATACTGAGGAACAGTTGGCAAGTCTGAAGAAAGAGAAGGACTTAACAGCAAATGAAGTGAAAGTCCTCACCGATACAACTGCTACAAGGGATAAGGAAATCAAGAAATTGCAAGATGACTTGAAAAAGGCAGCTGAGCGTCAAAAAGAGGCAAAGAAGCAGGAGAAAGAACTGAAACAGCAACTGAAGACAAAAGAAGCAGAAGTAGACAAGATCTCTGCAAAACTCATGAAAATCCAGGGTAACCTTGAGGAAACTCAGACTCTAATGACTACCTTGCAGAGAGACAATGATGGATTGAAAGAAAAATTGGATGAAGCAGAACAACAACAGTCCACACTTCAGGCATCTCTCGACCATGTCAATCAAGAAAAGATCTCCCTAAAGGACACAATGCAACAGTTAGAAGAATGCCTTAAGGCACAAGATAAAGAGGCAGTTGGGAAGATACACCAACATCAGGAGAATACCAAAGCCCTTCAGAATGAGCTCGACTGCAACAAAAAGTCGATGACTAAACTTGAAAACCGAGTGAAGTCACTAGAGAAACAGGTGACTGAAAAGTCTAACAAAATAAAAGATCTTCAGCAAGACAACAAAACCGTGAAGAAAGAGCTGGCCATCCACCTCAAATTGTCAACTGGATTTGAAGAGAAGGCCAAGTCCCACGAGGAAGAGATTGCACAGGTGAAAAAAGCAGCTGAAGACACAAAGAACGAATTGTCCACCGCGAAAGGGGAAGTTCAACGCGCGATGGCGGACAAAGAACAAGTCCAAGCACATTGTGATCAGCAGATTATGGAAATGACGGCCACGCTGGAAAAGTACAAAGCCGAGAATCAGAAAATTGTCAACCAGAAAGACAAAGAGATCGAGAGGATGAAGAAAGAGCACCAGTCCTCAAAGAAACAGGAGGTACAGGTGTCTGATATAAGGTCGCAACTTCAAAGCGTGCAACAGCAGCTAGAAGACGTGAAGAAGGAGAAAGACGAAATAGCGAAAGGACAGAAGGAGTACCAACAGCAGGTTGACACGCTGAAGAAAACCATCGAAGATAAAGAAACCCAACTGAAAGAACTTCGAGCAGATCTCAAGAAAGCCAAAGTTGATGCTCTGCCTCCTACTACGCCAAGGAATTACTCAACACCTAAGAATTACTCAACGCCGAAGATCAACGCTCCTCCATCCGCCTCTCTACAGCAGAGGCATGCCGCACGCAGAAACACGTCACGCAAGGAAAATGTGCCGAAAACAGATCCTATGGTTCCCCTGGCCGCATCAACGCCGATCCAGAACAAGACTCCACTACAACGGATCAGCAAACGTCCCGAGAGCGAACCAAAGAAACGACGAGTCGCCTTCGACATGACGGAGAAGACCATGGAAATATCCATGGATGGCGGGGACTCGGAGGCCAACTCGTCCACGTCGGAACTCATGGAGCTGGATCCAGAAGACCTGCTGTCCGGAAAACCTCGTGGTGATCAGCAGGTCCCCGGGCAAGCGTCACTCCAGGTTCACAAGTCTCCCTCCCACGGGATTCTCAAGTCGCCGGCTTTCGTCCGCAAGTCGCCAGCTGCACGTCTTAACCAAGCTCGAGCGTCTCCTGTAACGAAGACGCCAACACCACGCGGAAGTAAATCCTACAAAGTCCACATCTCCGACTCCTGGGGTAAGAAAAACAAGAACATCAAGCAAGGGCCGAGCAAGACGCCTAAGACAAAGGAGCAAGCAAAGAAAAGAAACAAGCCGTCCGGGAGAGGAGAGGACTTGTCGTGGTTCGAGTCTGATACTGTTTTTGGCTTCTTTGAGTGAATATATTTAAAAGAACCGTTAAGACGTTTCTACATATGAACTCGGTTAGAGTTTGTAGTTGCAGGTTCTCTTTCACTTTTAATGAAATAAGAGTTGCGTGTTCATGTTTCACTAGTAACGATGCTAATTCAAATATTGCTGGACAGCGTGTATGATACGTGCCGTTAGGTCTGTTCCTATCTTCGTACATGTGTCCTTTCCAACATTTATATGTTGAGCTTTCCTTCATTCTATTAGGTATATTGAAAATTATAACTTTGTATAGGTAGATCATCGTTATAATTTTTCATTCTTCTAAGTATATTTTAAGCAATGCAGTTTTCTGGCATGTTAGGACGACGAAGTTTTGCATTTGAATGTCAAACGTTACTGAATGAATTTGCTCAGTTATTTTCTGTCCAGTTGAGTATCAGAGTTGGAAATGTTTTTCAAAGAGTTTAGAAACCTATTCACCATAAACTTATATAGACTATTTATTGAATGAAGAAGTTGACTATATGACAACAAATGTTATCTAATTTTATTTAGTAGACAAATGCGATTGTTTAAGCCATTCTATTTTTATCTAAATACGAATCATTTAAACGTATTCCTTACATTTCTTCAAATATTTGCAGCACGTTTACTCTGTATATGTTGCACCTATCTTGCATGGCCAGATGTTTATTTCAAGGATGCAAATTGCAAACTGTTAGAAATTCTGCTAAATTTGTTCCTACATTTCAGATATAAATATCCTTTTCCGAAACCTTGAATCGCTGTCAAGAGTGTCAATGTATTGTCCTATGTTTACATCTGTCTGATAGTGAAGGCTGTGAGTAACAGAGAGATGTAGTATGTAATTTATGTTTTTGGCTCACGTGGGTAATTTCGTTGGCGGCGCCGAGGAGAGAGGGTGCTCAGAAGTTTATCCCAATAGTTTAATAATTTTCGCAATGTTTTCGCGACCTCCATATGGTCCAACTATGCGGTAATTAACCCCTACATGCACCCCCGTATTGTCAGCGGCCACCGCGACGAGGCATCCCAAAGAACGGAAGAAGGCCTGCTCATTTATCATACTTCGAATCGTGTCAGCTTAATTGGTCAAGGCTCCATGAGGAGCACACCAACAATGGTCGCGCTGGTAACGTGGCTTTTCTGGGCTCCACCACTTTGCTGTCGGGGACTGGAAATGAGAGGGCGGATCGCCCGGCACTGAAATCACTGACCCACGCAAGACCCCATTAGGGCGGACCGGTCTGGCAGTGGGTCCGGCCGCCGTCCGGGGGAAATAGCGCTGGACTGCTGCTTGTGGTCGCGTAGGCAGTACACCAGTCAGCGTCGAGTCTTGAAACACCAATTCTATTGCCAAGGTTACATAATATGCAGTTAAACCTTTAAGAAATCAGCCATTGCCCTTACGGTAGATCAATAAGCAGTTTCTGCTCCGTTGCCGTCTTGTCACCACCCGCTTTCCTGTTGTGTGCGCTTTCTTTGCCTAATCTATGAGACTGTGCCGAACACATATTTTCGTTTCATTTGTGTTCCAAGCTACAGAGGTAGACACGTATTTTTACTATAGATTAATTCGTCAGATTAGAATATGTTGTCTGGTAACAAATCCAAACCGCCTTTAGCCTTGCCACGTCCCAGAACCATCCTTTACGCGTTTTGTCGTGCGCTAAGGATTATGAAACGTGGTTTCAACATCAAAAGTATAACCAAGTACCTTCAACACCGATATAACACAAACGTTATGTAAAAATTTGATAGACACTATCACTGCGGGAAGTAACAAAGCGCTTAAATAATGTGACGTCGACAATATGGCCATAGAAATACGACCGGCATTTAAGGCGACACTAAAAGTGTCGGTGTCTTTTCTCCAACATATGAATGCGATACAATGATTTTATGAACATTAATGTTGTGGCCACTAATCTTACTTTAGGTATTGACGCCACATTAGTTGGTGCATTTGCATGCAGCTAATGCGCTTTCTATTCTTCTGTGCGCTGGACATAAATACATGTTTGGATAAGGACTGGCACCAGCTGATGAGAAGTGCGACAAAGGAGGAAGCGACCTTCTCTCCATTAAGCGACCTGTCTAGTGCCGAGCGAACGGCGCTGTGATTGTTCTCGTGGTTTTGACGATAAGAGATGAAGACGTCGGAGGGCGGCCAGTCTGCGAAGTTAATAAAGAGGAGTACATTAAGAATAGAGAGACTGTTGGCTGCAGTTGTATACCCTCAGGCACAGACACGCGCTGACGCCACGAAGTATGCGTCTGGTGCAACGTTTGACCCGATATCTGTCAACGAAAAGAAACGAAAGGAGGTTTGAAATTCTTGTAAACATTGCTGTTTATTGAGATATGCACCCTCTCTTTGTTCCAGTGCAGATTCAGTGAGGTATAGTATCTCTCTGGTCCGTAGGTTTTGCATACTATCTGGTTCTGAAATCGCATTACCTGGCGGCTGTCACAATGAGGACACCCACTGAGTGAAATCAGTGTCCGAAATCACAGGCCGCTCATTTACTGTCGCTGTGAAAGTGGAAGATATATAGAACATGTGCTGGTCGTGAAAAAGGGGGGAAATGAGGGGGCGACTTCGATGATGTGTCCGTTTGTTTGGCCGTGAGCTGGCCTCCTTGAGTCTTGACCTCTTGCACCTTCAACTTGTGGCTTGTGTTTCCTAACTTCACAAAAGAGCTAATCAGGTAGAAGGGAGTAAATCCGTAAGTAACTTCCTTTTACATGTGCGGGGGTTCATTTAGACGGGCTGAGCTGAAAATTGGTCCGCACAGGACAATGCTGCCCAGCCGCGCTATTCTCTAGTACTCCACAGCATACATAGCATGCGCACTTTTTTCTGACCGTTTTCTGATAAGAGGTGAGCTGTTTTCTTTCCTTTCAGTGATTTGATTTGGTGAGTTGTATCCCGTGCAGTCGAGAGCGTACCCTGCCCCACAGTGTAGTTTACCGTAATTGTAAGTAACCGTCTCGTGTTGATGGCCGTACTTACAGCTATATGATCCAATTTGCAAAGTGAGATGGCTAATGTGATAACCACAGGAACTACAGACGTCCCTTGTCAACCTTCTGCCATTGACACGCAACCATCCGCGCGTCACAAGATTACCTGGTCTTGATGTTGTAGTTACATGCAACTTAGAAATGATGGTTGAAACTTGAGACTGAAGAAGCATGTATGTCCCTAGCAACATGGTTTGTGACCTTGTGCTGTGAGCGATTCGAATTATAAAGCTGCATGATATATCCCAAAGTTGACGACAGATATCATTTATTTGTCGTTACTATTTTCGGAAATATAAATTCTCACGATGAATCGTGTTCTAAAAAAGAACGTCCAAACATAAATTCTACGGGAAAGTAGAATGAAAACCAGTGTGGCTCATCAATTGTCGCTATGGACAAAAGCATTTTGTCTCTTTCATACTCATCAAAATGCACTAAATGACCAGAAATGCAATTCAATCGACAAGACAGTAAAGATACAATAATATCATATCGTTTGAACATAGTATCTTCCAAAAAATTATTCTCAAATTATATAAGACGCGCATAGTAAGCCGTCAACTCTTTACCAATGCGGTGGTCATGAGTGGGACTAATCTTTTTTTGCACTGTCACTTCTCAATATGTTCATTTATCCGTGAAATCGGTAACCATAGCACCTCACCGATTTTACTTCTGAGTGACTTCGCCAGGACAAGGCAGAGTTGGTTCCATGGGAACGGGCTGTGCCTTCCTGAGATCCCGTGTAGCGAGACACCTTCGGCGCCTCAGGACAGGTGATGCTCCCTCCTGGTTTGTTAGAGAATTACAGGGCGCATGATCCCGGTGTAGTACAAACATACGTACGTCTCATTGTCTCAGCACGACGCCCTGTGTTCCCCCTTTCTTCTGACTAGCCCTTTCCATGGGAGAATCTCGCGTCAAACAATGCGCGGCTTCCCCTGAGCGATTTCGCCACTGCAGCCACTGTCCTCTTGCTGTAATATATGAGTATGTGCAGTAGACGGTAAAAGCGCAGTACACGTTCGCAGAGAGAGAAATCATAGAGCAACTTTAATCATGACAATTATTTCCAGCGTTTGTGTAGACACTCCACCCCGCACCCCTCCCCCTATAGGCTGTAATTACCAGTTGATGAGGAAAGAAGATGGGATTTTCAGGAGAACGGCGCCCAATTGTTTGACTTGTCAGGACAGCTATATTGATGAGCATGAAAGCTGTCTAGTGTCTTCTTTTGACACAACATATCTGTTTCGAGTCTTTGCGTTACAAGATTTTTCTAAAATTGCAATGGTCTAAAATTGCATCGCAACTTATCAAGGTTGGTCAAATTGGCCCTGTCAAATCAATGGACAATCATATTCTATTCGTATCTTGTTTCCAACGAAAACTAGTCTTGACTCGATCGCTGTACATCAGTGCGCATTGCCACAAATCTTTGAATAAATATGAGCAGAAGAAAATATTTGACGATTTTTCCTCTCAATATTCTTCAGGTCTGTCGTTTAAATGTGCCAATAAAACTAGTATAATCAGCACATGGCTGTTTTCCACTGCTTTCTTGCACGTGGCCACCAATCGTTCACCACTCTGCTCGCAATTAGACAGACGAGAACAAAGACGAACGAACAACACTCACTACCCAAGATTCACGCCTGCACGGGAAGAAGAACAAAGCAGTAATCCCAGAACGCTCAACACGGAGAGAGCAAGTCCATAAACAAAAGAAAATTAAGTTCATCTTGTAATCTACAAGTGTCATTCAGACTAATGATCTAGATCATCTCCTGGTCAGAGACAACAACAGCATCAAAGGTCAGCGGAGAATAATTACTTAAATCGACCCCATAGTCTCTAAATCAATCAAACAGAGATCACAGGGGCGCATTTATCTGTGCTATCTTTCCTGTCTAAGTGCCGTCCGTCCTACCAACGGATCGTTAGACCCGCTACGGTTCGAACGGAAAACAAAAGCAGGGAAAGATGGATGGCACGTGTGTGGGTATAATTTATAATACCGCCTTTTAACAACGGGCGAACGATCACGGGCACACTGCACATTATCTAACAATATCAAAGACAAAGGGTTACTTAGTGTCGGTAGATTGAACACGAAGGTAATTGTTTTGTGTCTGATGTTTAGCTCTTTTCCACAAGAATACTTCTTTCCAGCTTCTTGTTAAGCCAGACGAAGTTCCTGAACAAGTTTTAGTTAATTTCTTTATCTTCCTGAAACTTATTGATGTTTTTGTAGAGTTTTTTTCCCCTTGTTTTAGTATTGCAGATATCGTCCCTCTCCTCCCTTCTCTTCTCCTCTCTAGAACACAGCGTCCAATATATGATACAATATAGGCAGAATACTAGAATGGACCGTGCCTTTGTGTTTAACAGAATGGAATAAACGGTATTCTGTGCCCTTTATTGTGCCACCACACTGACAGACAAAAATATGTATTCTACTTAAGTCCTTACTGTCTTCGACCTGTCTTGGACCTTTTCTATGAAGTTCCCCTTCCATCCGTTTCCCTAAAGCTTTTATATTACTTTCCTGTAAACTAAAACTGCCGTCACAAAAACGATGTGTTTACAACGATGACGCAGATGATTCACTGGCAAAAGATGTTACTGAATGAAACCAACGATCAAATAGACTGATACTTATTTCTATAGATTAAGCTTGATACAAAATGAGACAACAGATAATCATACTCATAATTTCGTTTCCCTAAACATGTAGATTATTTATTTGCCATGTTTTCATATCTTGACGGTGTGTATACAGTATAGGGTAAAATGGCTTAATACAATCTACAACTATCTAGCTAACAAAAACAAACAAAAACGTTTATGTTAAAAAAAATGATAGGATCGGTCGCTGAAATCTAGTACATTGTGATCTACTAATACTATGAGTATCAGACTCCTTGAGCTGCTGAAATAATAGTGAAAATTTGCCAAACTGGCTGAATAATTTGCCAGAAAATTAGCCAACCCTGGTCGCTAGCAGTAACTTCCCCAACAAATTTTTCGCCATATTACGTATATTTGGTCAATTTTTACTTTTTTTTTCACCATGAAGTCTGGAACAGACTAGTGATCTATTACATATACATATTCTAATATATAAAGAGTCCCGCCGCTTTAGAAAAGAGATAAGAAGAAAATTACCAGAAACAGACAAAACGAAAGAAAAGGTCTCCCCCTCACAACCGCGATGACCGCGCCTGCGCGTCAACAGACCCGCCCCTGCCCGTTGTTTACGCTATCCTACCATTGACGCCCGTTAGACCGTGAAACGACGTCTTGGAAATATAAATGATAATCACTAAGGTAGGCTTTAATGAAGTCTGCGGTTTCGGCGGGAACTCCATAAACCGCGTGGCTCCCCTTCAAGACGCCTTGGCTGGCGCGGAGTCTGTAATTCCGTGAGGTGAGGTCAGAAGGCAGTGCCCTAGAACTCCGGGCGGTGTCGCCGTGCCTTCCACAGCGCGTGCCGTCCTCACTCCTGCTGGATTCAAACCTCGCCAATCGACGTAACATTGTGCGCACATGAGGCGGAGACAATACCGGCGGGCCTGTATAGCACCCAGGAAGCCTTTCAGGGATCAGATGTCCCCTGTATAGAAAAGCCTCTATTGCTTTCGTTTGGTGACGTTAATTGTATGCAGCACCGAATGAAGAGATACGTCGCGTCGTCGCCTTTGTGAAGTCCACGTGGGCTGTAAAGGTCCGAGCAGGTATAAAAGCGAGGCAAGAACTGAAACTTTGTTATTCCGTTTAAACCTCGTGGGTGCGTCTCGTTCACAGAGTGTATATCGGCAAGGGCTTTCGACTTTTCCCGTACGATGTCGCGATCTTTTCTCGTGGATTCACTTATTCAAAGGGACATGTCGCCGGCGAAGTCGACTCAAGCGGCGGCGGCGACGGCGTGCGTCGGGCACCGCGGCCCCCTCAGCCCGCTGACGGCGGCCCAGCTCGGGCTCTACCCGCGGAAGGACGCGGCGGCGATCTTCGGACAGTGTCTGCTGTGTGTGCAGGCGACCGGCAGCCCACCGACGACGGGACACAGCCACTTCGGCGTCCCGAGAACAGCCGTGCCCACCACCGTGCCTTCCTTCGCGTCCACCCTGCCCACGACCCTCCCCACACCGGCTCTGCAAGGCATCTCATACGCCATCTCCAGGCACCACACACCGGCTACATCAGCCTTCATCAGCATGCCTTTCCCCTCTGGTAAGTACACATTCTTAATAATATTGTCCCTCTGAAAAAATAGTAAGAACTTTGGGTTCTGGTCTTGGAAGTAAGTGAAAAATTTCTTTCCTGCAGAAAATTGCCATTTTTGTATAGCGGAGCGTGACATTAGCTCTGTTTGTGTGGTTATGGTCTAGTTCGCGGGGAAGCATTGTGTTGGACGGTCTCGCTTTGTTAGCGTGAAGGCTACAATATGGTACAATTACTGCTATCGCCATGGTCCGGGCTGTTATCGCACCCTCCACATGCCTTAACGGACTTCTAGTTTTAACTTCTTCTTATTCAGATGTTCTTGATTTAGATTTTTTTTAAATCTAAAACTATTGATTTTTATTGGAAATCATGTAAGGAGAAAACCAAAGATATGTATGATTAAATCATAACATCTCTTTCTGAGAGCAAAACAAACATCCATAACATTTCCTAAACTTCAAAAAATGCAGGGTTGCGTATTTTCCGTAACATCATTTACATTTATATTTTTTGTTTTGTTTAGTCATTGCATTATCTCAACTGCAAACGCGCAGAAACGAGAATTGGTAGTTATACTCTGTTCAATGCCAGATGGAAAATCATCAAAATCTGTTCTTAGGAAAACATCAAAATCTGCTTTACTCTAAACCATTCATGTTAACATGTTTATAATGCTCAACCGTAGAAGAAGCGAAGTTTTTTTTGAGACCCAATCACGTCCTTTGATTCAGATGTGAGTGGACTTTCCGAGGTCACATATCTGTGTACATGGAGGCTGGTATCCACTACACTACAGTTCTGGCCTGGTGCCCAGTCGTACACAGAACGACGGCTATATGTACAGTCCTTTGTCATTGTATCAATGACATGGCATGTTATAAGCTATATTTTTAATTTCAACAACGATTTTACAGTTTTGTACATGAAACAGCAACACAATAAGAAGAGAAACTATTGTTTGTTTTTTTGTCTAACATTGGTATCAGTATCCCTTATTATTTGTACGCTCAAGGACGAGCCGTTTTTGTCAACAGATTTTTTTG